GTATGTGGGGGCGCAGGATGGAGACCGCGTATGTGGGGGCGCAGGATGGAGACCGCGTATGTGGGGGCGCAGGATGGAGACCGCGTATGTGGGGGTGCAGGATGGAGACCGCGTATGTGGGGGTGCAGGATGGAGACCGCGTATGTGGGGGTGCAGGATGAAGACTGCTTTCACTGTCATGTGGGAGCCAAGTTACAGGGAAGAGAGACAACAGTGCCCTTTCCTAGCTCAAACAACTGGAAGCTGGTTATCCACCAAAAGGAATATAATAATTGAAAATTGCCAAACTGGCTTAAGTCAGTTTGCATAGAAACAAAAATGGATTTGTACAAATATAGAAAAGTGATTCTTACTAAAATTTTCTGGGAGAAGATATATCTGCTGATATAAACCATCATTCTGAAACTGAACCCCCTGATTTTAAGTTTCATTACAAGAGATTCATTTTATATAAATCTCTTCCATATGGAATGCGTTTTACTTCTCCATAAACAGAGACCCAGACTAACTGTGAATGATTATTTTCATAAGGGCAATACTCTTCTAAAGAATCCCCCTTTTAATACAAACCATATGCTAGTATCTTTGAAGGAAAAGATACCCGTCAGGAAATCAGTCATCTACATCAGATCAGAGAAACAGAACCAAATGGATTCCAAAGCTTATGGAGTTTATAGTTTCAAATACTTTCACCGTAAGCATGTTGCTTGCAAATGGCTGCTTGAAATTTTACTGTATACATAACTCATTTAAAAAAAAAAAAACCCACAACCCTCTTTTAGTATGATATACAAAACCAATCCCAACCCAAAGCCTGGCCTACCCATGGAGCCCCTGCCTCCCACACATCTGTATGTGCTTCTGACACGAGGCCATGCACACGCCTGGAGATCCAGCACACGGAGTACCTTCATTGACCTCAACTGTCCATCATGGCATGTCAAGGAAAACAATAAACTTCAAACCAAATGAAGGTGGGCTCTACAAAGCCAGACTTCTGTTTTGTCCACTGATCTACTTCCAAGGTCTAGAAGACTGGCACCTAGTAGGCAACCACATTTTAACTAAATAAATTCTATCGATATGCCTACTACGCATTTACATGTGCAAGCCCCAGTGCTACACAGTAAAGATACCCAAAGCAACAAGCCAGGGAAGGTTCCTACTGTCAAAGTGCTTACATCCTAGCAGAGAGCAAGGCAATAGATAAGCAAAGTGATTAACTACACATTGTGCTAAGTGTTATGAGGGAAATGAATAAGACACTATGTTCAGGAAAAACAGGAACAAACTTCCTCAGACAGAGCTTTAGATTAACCAGGGTGGTAGGCAGACGAGGGCGAAATGTGGACCAACGTGAAATACACTCTGAAAGTTTAACCAACTCCCAACCTGGTATAGGCCATGAGAAAATGGCTGAATCAAAGAGAAATCTGAGATGTTTTTCTAGGCTTTCACTGTTTTGTTTAAAGCTTTAGCAACTGGGTGATTGAATGGTGCCATTCACTGAAATTTTTTGAGATGAGTTCAAAGAACAAAGGAAAATAAAAAAATCGCATTTGAAATATGTTGAATCTATTAGACATCCAAACGAAGATATCAAGTACGGTGCCTGGCAAAGAACAGGTGCTAAATAAATAACTAATGGACCTGCTCTGTTGATCAAAAATCAAAATTTTATAAAAATTAATTTTTAAAAAAGCCTACATGAGGGCATGTCTATGTGGGGGAGGGTGCCCAAGACCATGTATAGGGTTGGCAGACAATGTTTCTCAAGTGTATTGGTATGTTCTACAGGAACTCCCAGGTATAAAACAGAGCTGACAAGGGACAAGGTTGTAGTGATTTCCCAGCCACAGCCAGCTACCCAGAGAGAGCAAGTAGTTGGACCTGTGGGTTCGGGACCATAGTTGCAGGAGACATCAAGCTCAATTGGCGTAAGATACTACACAAAACATTGTTCCGCATCCTACTTTGGCAAGCTTACAAGTGGCCATCTAGGTGCAACGATGGGTCTCTCCTAGTGCAGAGCAAAGAATAATGAAAGAACCAAAGATTTATGGAAACAATTATTTCAAGCAATTGGTATACTATGCAATCCTTAGGCTGTACGACTATGAGAAGAACTAGATGGTGCCCGGTTACCACTGTCAACCACTAGGAGGGGGATCTATGTAGGAGATCCTGGATAGAGTGGGAGAACAATGTGGAACAAAACTCAAAATCATTAAAAAAAGAAAAAGAAAAAGAAAGGTGGGGTGGGGTCAGGTTTGCTGGTCTGACAGAGCCTGACGGAATCACTGAGACTATGGCCCCTAGCTGCCCTTCTGGTCTGGAATTGAACCCACTCCTGTGGCTTCCAGTCAAACAAAAGAAGCATATGAGGTAAGCAGTTACATTAGGTAGATACACTCTATGGAGAGAACAGTCATGAGAGAGTAGTGGGGCTGTATGTGCGCAGGGGGATGGCTCAGGGGGCGGGAGTGTGTGGAGGGAGGGAGACAGGGAAGAAGTATCTATGGGGAAGAGATGGGAGGAGAGCTGTTGCATTGTGTTGGATTGTAGTCAATGTCATGAGACAAAATCTATGTACATGGAAGGTGAATTTGCTCTCTAAACTTTCACCCAAATCACAATTAAAAAAAAAAAAAAAAAAAGCCTACATTGGTTACTTTCTAACCCTCCTGAGAACCAAAATGTTGGCAACACTCACTGAGAACTATTAAAAGGCTATTTTATCAGAATATTATTCAATCAATGGAACTAACTACTTAATAAAACAAGTTTCTACCAGAAATACTTATATCCACCTTTGTAATAGGATGTCTAAGTAAGAAGCATTAAGGAGGCTTGTATATAGTAACTACCTTGCAAATAAATTTTAGGGAACAATGATCTTCATTTAGATAACAGTTTAAAGGAACAACCTTAGTGCAGGGTTTCTCGACCCTGGCACTGCAGACATTCTGTACTGGGTAATTCCTTGTTGTGGACACTGTAGGATGTTTAGCAGCATATCTGGCCTTTACCCATTAGATGTCACTATTACACCACCCCCTCAATTGTGACAACCAAAAATATCTCCAGACACCGTATCAAATGTCCCCAGGATACCCCTTATTATGAACTACTGATCTCAAGTAATATAAATTGCCGACTGTAACCTTGCATACATCAACTACGGACATCTCCCTACGGATCTGTGGCAGCCAGCCTCCAAGATGGCCCCAATGATCCCAAACTTGTGGTATTCATGCCATATGTAGTCCCCTCTCATGTTTATAAAGGTTGGTCTGTATGACCAATAAAATACATCAAATGATGGTATGTGACTTCCAGGGCAGCGCCATCAAATGCAGTGTGTGATTTCTACCTTGTTCTTTCTTCCATCATTCACTCTTGAGGAGAACATCTGCGATGTCATGAGGACACTCAAGCAGCACTATGAGAGACCCAAGGTAAGGGCTCAGGTCTCTTGCCAAGAGCCACCTGAATGAAGCTCGGAAGCAGACCCTCCAGTCTCAGTCAGCCTTCAGATGGAGGCTGAAGTGCCAGCCAACACAATCTTAATGACAACCTCATGAAAGACCCTGAGCCAGAATCCTCAGCCTAAAACTGCTTCCAAATTCCCACCCACAGACACTGTGAGATGATACATGTCTTAAGAAGCCACTAGGTTTTAGGGTAAGGTGCAAGCAGAAGTAATTGAACAACAAAGACCCTCTCCCATCTGACCGTGGAAAGAGTTACTGAACAGAACTCTTATATGACTGATGATAATCCAGGAGAAAAATCAACTGAAAGAATACCATTTTGTTGAGTGCAGGTTTAGAGACTGACTGCCACGAAGTGTTGATTCTAAGCAGCCGGCGGGAGGAAGGTCAAGGTTTCGTTGCTATCGACCTGGCTTTCCCTAGGATAATATCCTCAGGGAAACTTAGAGCGAGTTAATCTGAGGGAGACAGTAAAGCTCTCAACAAATAATAGAGTTGAATAGCTGAGAAGAATTTTTAAAGAGGAGTAACAGTAACAAATTATTCTGAAGTTGTCCCAAAACGACAGCAGGGTATAAAAATAACAATTCACTACAACCAACACCAACTCTGGAACTCCTAAGGCCATCTCTCTTTTTCATGCCAATACCATGTTTCTCTTACCAAATATATTCTTCTCATTGCAAAGTTCAAAACTGTTGAGCACTATTCTACGTGATCAACATGCCTCTCATTTAATCTCCACATCAACCCCAAAAATAAGTTTTATTATTATCCAAAGATGAAGAAATAAGAGACGTTATATCATCATATATGTGTACATACATATAGTAATAGACACAGAGGAACTCTGATGGCGGAGTGCCTAAGGCAAGTGACTGCTAACCAGAAGGCTGATGGTTCAAACCCACCAGCCACTCCTCGGAAGGAAGGCTGGGCAATCTATTTCCATAGTGATACCGCCTCGGAAACCCAAGGAGGGGTCACTATGAGTCAGGGCTGACTCAATGGCACATAACAACAACAGCAACAACAATACATACATATGGGTCGCTGTTAAGTTGGGTCCGACTCAACAGCACATAACAACAACAAACAATTACTATATGTACATACATATATAATTATATATTTATGTTTAATAAAACATTATAAAAATTACTTTCACATTTCTTTTCTTGTCTTCCCATTTTCAAAATGTGGCTATTAGAAAACTTGAAATGACCTATGTGACCTGCACTCTTTTTCTATTAAACAGCACTGCTCATTACTGTACCTGTCAGTTTTTTCTTAAAATCTAAGATGGAGAGTAGCACACTGCTTCAGCATAGCAGACATTTAACTAGAAATCTGAGGAATTGAAAGTTTCTGGTTCTTTCAAACTTACAAAACGAGATGAGTTATCATTTTTCACAGTCTTCGCATTTCCAAATGATTCCAGAATTGGGTTCGCTTGCAAAAGCTGCCGTTCAAGTTCCCCCTAAAAGATTAAACACACATAACATACATAGAAACACATAAATAAGAGTAGATGTATATTAATCTAATGTCTTTACTCCAGTCCTCAGGGGAAAAATAAAACAACAAAAACAAAACAGCCTCTTTTCCACAGTCCTTTCATTCTGTTTGCCATCAGCAATCTCGGTTGGCTTTTTATTCTTGGTTATGACAATGGGCTCTGCTAAAGGAAAAGGAATTAGCATATATAAAGTGCTCACCAGAAGACACTGTCACATCGAACAGAGAGATAAATTTAAGGACAGGAGTCATAAATAGGCAAAGAATTTTGAAAATAAAGATCAATCATACAGTTTTCATGAAATGAAATTTTGCATGACATTTCAATTAAGAACATATTAACACTTATACTTTTTAAATTTATTTATATTTTGCCTCATTCCAAAGACTTAAGGCAGCTAATTCTAACACAGGTATCCCCTGCAAAAGTTCACTTTACAACATTTTTTTATGAAAGACCTATATTAATACCTGTTTTCACTAACTGAAAGAAATCCAAAGATTTCTTGCTTCTTTACACATTAAACTCATGTTTACAAAAAAGACAAAAAGTCAAACTGACATTTAGCACTTGTTTTACCGTAAGCCATTCAGCAGGCAGCACGCACCCTGAGCAGCAAGAGTGGCGTCACCCAGCTCCTTCCGCTGGAACGACACCCAGCATCTCAGCATCAAGCCACTAGCGATGGGCCGTGTCTGTGAACACTGTGTGTTAGTGTTGTTTTATGTGTTATTTGGTATGATTCACTCATTGTTGTCGAGTCAGATCTGACTCATAGCGACCCCTCCTTGGGTTTCCAAGGAGGGTATGATTTAGTAGGGCTTTTTTTTGCAACCAGGAATGCTCAAAAGTTTTTCCCATATACATTAATGGTAATTCCATCTTCGCTTTACTCATCTCGGCTCCTGAAAGGTTTCATAGGAACGCTCTACTTTTGAATAGTGGGGTTAAAATCTCTTAATTACGACTGACATGAGTACAGGACTTTTAATTGTTCCAAGGGTTTTCACACAACACCTCACTGTAGTAGAAAGGGTAGATGTCCCCATCTCCAGTGAAGATGACAATATTACTAACTTCTTGCTCAAATTTAAAAGGCCAGGTATAGAATATTTAGTATAATGTGATTTATATGTAAACTGGGCTATAAAACAGATTTACAAACATCTGCTTTTTCCAAACACAAAATTATTTACCCTTATACCTTAAAATACCCACAGTGTTCTAGATCTAAAGAAAGAAAAAAAAGAAAAACCACCAGCAAATGTGATTATCCAAGCAAAAAAGGAATATAAGGCACCTCACATAAGATTTTAAACCGGTAGCCAGTTGGTATGTGGTACTTTGTACCATCATCAAATCCAAAGACAGGAAAAAATATATGCTATATATACACTCTCAGCATCCAACTCTGGTTTGGACTTCTTCACTCAGTTGAAGGGTGGAGAAGTTATCCTGAGGCACATTAAATAGTGAAGGGATATGCTCCTCACACGTCAACTCTACAGCATTTATGGATTTTCACAGGTCTTCACTACAATCATGCTAAACGGAATCCCATTAAGAACTCCATGACATAACATCACCTCACCCTCTGCACATTAGAGAAACTGCTCCCTATATAACAAATCTTCCAGTTGACTGGTTTGAAAACTCCAGATTATTTCTGATGTAAATCTTTCTAAAATATTAGCACTTTTCTTGACACGAGGCAAGTTTCTTAAACAAAGAGCAATGAGTTTCTGGGTCTGGGAGAGGAACAACTCAGAGAAGGAGAGAGAATGGCTGCACAATAAACAACGTAATCAGTGCACGTGCAGAAATGACTGAATTGGTGGATGCATTGCTGTGCATATTCTAAACAACAAAATTTGAAAGAAAAAGAAAAAAATGAATGAGAGGCAGCAGGAAAACTGTACTGCCAAATAACATCTGACAAGTACCTCCTTTTTTCCTTCATTCTTCATATCCAGGTCCCCTCCCTCTGTCCCAATGTCTTCCCCCTTTTATAATTCTAGGAGAGAATGTCTAGTGGCCTGGTTTAATTTCAGCTGGACTGTCCTCTTTAAGAAGGAGCCCTGGTGGCATAGTGGTGAAGGCACTTGACCGCTAACCGGGAGGTCAGTGGTTCAAACGCACCAGCTGCTCCATGGAAGGAAGACAGGGTGATCTACTTCCATGAAGATTTACAGCCTTGGAAACGCAATGAGGGTCGCTATGAGTCAGAAACAACTCAATGGCAATGAGTTTGGTTTTTGGATGTGGTCCTCTTTAGGCTGTCCATCCCATCACAGAAAGGGAGGGCTAAGGAAATGGATTTTGTGGATTACTTCCATTGGCAATGAGCTATTTTATGACTGAAGTAAACTTGGCATTTGATCCCAGGCCCACTGAAAAGAATGTGTTTAATATTTTTTTGTTTGTTTGTTTATTTGTTTTACTTAACACACAGGAAACTGATGTAAGAGGCCATCCATTTGTGGAAAATACTTAATAAAATATCCAAGATTCAGAAAAAGGAACTCTGATGGCCCGTGGTTAAAGCATTTGGCTGTTAACCAAAAGGCCAGCAGTTTGAATTCACCAGCCGCCCTACTCAGCAGACTGCTTCATCCTTCTCCCAGAGAAAAATATGTGGCAATCTGCTTCTATAAAGATTTACAGCCTTGGAAATTCTATGGGACAGTTCTACTCTGTCTTAAAGGGTCATTATGAGTCGGAATCAACTTGACGGCAGAGGGCTTTTAAAATGCAGGGGAAAAAAAATTATTTAAACATGGTATCCTGAGCCTGAAGGATTCTGAGTTGTTATTAAGAACGTGAACTGTCACCCTGTGATCTAATACACTGCTTTTTCCCTGGCACTCAGTGGTCAATTCCATTGGTGTGCCTGTGACTAACTTCTTGTCCTCGTTTAAATTTGCTGCTGTTCTGGAGTACACACATCTGTGTTAAGAATCTAGATTTAAAATAAAGTTTACTGGAATTGTGCTTTAAATAAACAAGTTAATTGTTTTCCAAGGAATAAAATACAAGGGTTTTGGCACAATGGCTCTTTTTGCACACTGCAGTAATTCTTTGGGCCTCTAGACGCTTTTTTTTACATAATTCAATCTGAGAGGTGCCTAAGGCATTTGACTGCTAATCAGAACGCTGATGGTTCAAACCCACCAGCCACTCCTCAGAAGGAAGGTTGGGCAATCTACTTCCATAGTGATACCGCCTCAGAAACCCAAGGAGGGGCCGCTAAGAGTCGGATCTGATTCAAAAGCAGTGAGTTTGGTTGCTTTTTTTAATTGTAGGGAATGACTTTCAGATTAAATGCCTATTGTTAGATCAAGGTATTAGAATACAGATTGCTTAAGATACACACTCTCCTCTCCTGCCAAATCATAAAACCCATTGTTCTCAAGTTTAATTCTGATTCATAGTGACCCTGTAAGACAAAGTAAAACTCCCCATAGGCTTCCAAGGCTATACATCTCTATGGAAACAGATTGCCACATCTTTCACCTTTCTCCCATGGAGCAGATGGTAGGTTCAAACCACCTGTCTTTTGGTTAGCAGCTGAGTGCTTATCCATTGCATCACGCCAAACCCAAAACCAAACCTACTGCCTTCAAATTAATTGTGACTCATAGTGAGCCTTACAGGACAGAGAACTGCCACACAGGATTTCCAAGGCTATAAAATCTTCATGGAAGCAAACCGCCTCCTCTTTCTTCCGTAGAGTGGCTGGTGGGTTTGAACTGCTAACCTTTCTGTTAGCAGCCAAACATTTTAACCACTGTGCCACCAGGATTCCCAAATCATAATAAAAATATTTAAATAATAATGTCCCCTTAAAATATTCTCCTAACTTGGAGGTAATCCAAGTGATGCATACCCTGTTTTAATATTCCCTAGATACGGTTATAAAAGAACCCTGGTGGTACAGCAGTTAAGTGCTCAGCTGCTAATCTGAAGGACAGTGAATCGAACTCGCCAGCTGCACTGTGGGAGAAAGATGTGGCAGTCTGCTTCCAAAAAGCTTACAGCCTTGGAAACCTATTCTGTCCCATCAGGTCACTATAAGTCAGAATCAACTTGACAACAATGAGTTAGACATGGCTATAAGGATTCTTAAGGTCAATTTTCTACTGATTCCTTTTCTTTTTTCCTTAGTATGTATGTGTCTCTCTCTGTGTAATCTACTGATTCTATTCTTCCTTCTGCTGACTTAAACTAACTTCGCTGTACCTGTACCCCCTGATCCTCTGCACTGAGCCCTGTTAGTATTGGGTCAAAATGACACTCTCAAAATGTTTGCTGAATGTATGTCCTTAAATGCTAATTCTTCAGGATTCTAGAAAACATTCTAA